TTGTTAGTTCGTAGTGGGTAATCTTAGTAAATACTGATCCGATAATGAAAATTCTTTCACCTACAGAAAACTACATTATACGCGAGACGAGTCTTTAATCGATGTAATATTATATAAATCGGCATATATGTGCACTATGAATTTATATAATAAAGATTTTATGTGGGTTTTTTTTATCTGTTAGAAACTGGGTGTTAATATATAAATCAAATAAAAAAATGCACATGCACATAGAACCTTTGTCACGCACGACCTAATGACATCAATAAAAAAATACCAAAGGGCCCATACTGAGTTCACAAACAAAACGTTCAAAAGAGTCAGAGAAGCGTGCTCTACATATCATTAAGACGTTTAAAAAATAAATAAGTCGGTGGTATTCATTGACAAAGCGTTTATAGGCGGGTCTAATCTGTCGGTTCATATTCATACGCGGACGTGAGAAACAACGCGATATTGTACGACCGTTAATGAACTGAATACTACCGACACCGACAAACGCGACATTGTTAATATTTTTGAGTGCAACAGTTACTTCATTATCGGTACTAATGAGAGCCGTCTCAATGGAGGTAAGGAACAAAAGCAAGCAACAGAAACAATCTAAGGATACTGTATTATGAAATTAACAGTCAAAACATAAAAGCGATAATAAATGAACATTATAACAAATATCCGATAGTTTAATAGTGTAATCTACAATAGTCATGAATGAACTAAAAGTAATGTGTAGGTACGAGGGGCTAAATCGTTTCAATTCGTAAACAAAAGCAGCTCGCCAAGTGATCAACGATGCAATTGTCACTGCTACCGTGTGAAAGCGGTGGACATGTTCGCTTTTGTTCTATAGTTTTTAATAGAGCGCGTGCCAAATGACAAACGTAGTGAAACACTCGTTTGTCCAAACTAAAACGCTAATGAGTGACGAGTTAGGTTACGATACTTTCGATCGTAAATCGCTCGTCTTATTAGGGTAGGACAGATGAATAGTTTGTAGTGACTTGTGTTGTTTATGATCGGTACCGTTCTCGTAGATGGCCAGCTTCTCTTGTATGGCGGGTGCGGTTCTACGAGTTCTCGCTTCACACATCGCGGGACGGATGCGTCGAGCAACCACGACTAAATGCCTCCACAGAAGCCGGGCAACGTGTCACGGCCACCTAACAGGATTAACTTACCTGTCCTAGTGCGCAGGTAAACTAAACTAGTCATCAGACCGCAAGACGCCTTAACCGGCTTATAAAGTTTGGTTGGATTTAGAAAAGAATCAAGCGTGAACTTTTATGTGAATGTCTTATATCATATTACGAAAATTGATTAGGAAATAGAAAAACCACAAAGTATGTTGTAATTTATTTCGTCACAATGTTAACTTTCCCAGTTTTTTTTATATTAGTGTGAATTACGAAAAAAACGTTTATTCCTCTTAACTTTGTTTAACACCAGAGAATTTAACGAAATCATTGTTCAATCAATTTAAGTTTGTATTTTAAAATATAAAAATTAATTACCAACAAATGATGGTATATATAAATAACGTGTTTTCCGTTTGAATATTTCTTAATTAAACAAAAATCTAAATAATTATTTAAAACAAGTTTTTCATTTATTATGTCAGACCCGTGATCTTGTTTAAGCAAATTAAATGAGCTAAAACTCGTTATTTAATTACAAAGTTCCCGTTCCGGTTCCATCGTCAGACCCTGGATTTTATTGTAGACCAAAGTTCTTTTAATTAGGTTTCATGGATTTTTACCGAAAACCGATAATAAATACAAATTTTTAGTTAACAAAATACCAAAAATTTATAGCGCCGGCGAAAAAAAAAGGATATATTAGAAAGGATGGAACATATTACTTGAAAAAAATATGGGAGCTAAGCTATACAACTAACGGTTAGTTATACATACGCCTATTAAGGTTTAATGACACCTTTAAGCTCCAATGAATGCCAAATTTGTATGGGTAATGTCGCTTTTAACTAATGAAAGTGTTAATGGACGTTTGTGCAACTATCTGTACGTTTTTCTTTTTGTCTGGATTTTAGTAGTTCCAAATGTCTTTTAGCTTGTACTACCTATCTGGCTTGAGACACAAACTTACGTACATGCAAACATCAATAAAAGCTTGTAAGAGACCTTGAATTTGAATAACTAAATCTATTTAGCACGTGCAAATAACGATTTCCCGTAAAACTAACTAGGTTTTAAGTTTCCATACTGTCCGGTGTGGTAAAGTGGAAATGCTTACAAAATGCATAACATGGTAAATAATATATAACCGGCCAGCCAACGTGAAAGGAGGACGATACGTGAGTGTGACATATAATACCATATTTTTCTGAAATTAGGATTTCTAATACTAAACAATCAAATTACCTATCAGCAAAAATACTGCTCGTTTATTTGCTTGAGTATTATATTGAGTATTTATTTTCATTACACAACAAGAACAAAACTCGAGATTATCATTGACGGGATATTTATTTGTATCACAGAAATATAAAAACTTATTTCTGTGATTTGTATGCTCGATATTCCTATTCTAAAAGGTATATGGTGTAAACCATTACTTAGAATATTTATTTGTATCTTAATCATGCCCATATAAGTTGTGTTTACATATATATATATATATATATATATATATATATATATATATATATATATATATATATATAAAGTATCTCAAAACATACTGCATAAAGTAGGACTCGTCATCATGAGCCCTTTTACGGCCCCACTGCAGGGGCTCAGGCCTTCCTTAGGGATGGTTAACAGCTCGAGGTAATAATTTTTTTTGTCACCCATCCCGTGACCGTGCCCAGACCTTGCGAAAGTTGCTTAACAACAACGATCGCAGGCCGCAGCGCTTATCCATTACGCCATCGAGCTACTCAAGTAGGACTAAGCATGGTAAATAGTACCTATAACACTTTTATTAGTTTTTTAATCAACTTAATGAAATAACTTAATGCGTCAAAAGTAGAATTCACAATCAATTGCTGATTTAATTTGTTGTGCTACTGTATTAGGTCGATTGCTTTGTGGAGGGCAATCCAATAATAATCCGCTTAGAGACGCTATGTCGAGCCTATATAGCAATATTCTTAACCTTTCAATCATTACAAATGGATTTTAGATCGTTTCAAAAATTTGACTTTCTTAATCAATTGGTGTGTTGATGATTATTTCTGATCTGGTTATAAACACTCTATAGAAAATATGTTACTTTTTTATGTTAGCAGGATAGTCTCTATACGTCGAGTTTTGAGTTAGCTTTTAGAGCAAAGCTTGAGGCGTGGATATACCTACTTAGAAGAGAAGGTAACATTACGATTACTCGATGTGAACAAACATAGAAAACCGGACAACTGCGAGGCGGACTTGGACGCATTTTATTATTTTGGTTTTAAGCAATGGTTTTTTAGTATTTCTTTTTAATGCGGCAACAGAAATAAATCATCTCTTAAAAAATTAACTGTCTAGCTAACACGATTCATGAGATACTGGTGACAGACAGACAACGGTGTCTTAATAATAAGGTCCCGTTTTTACCCTATGAAAACGGAACCCTAAAAAATCAAATAAAGATTTGTAAATTGACATCATCAACTATGTAATAATAAACTATTTTTATACGAACTTTGTTGTCTTTATTTTATATCATTTTTCACTACTACACATTAGCATTCAGCCCCATCATGATTCGACCAAGCGTTTTTCAATGTTATCAAAATGTGATAAGAATGATAGTCTGGAAGAAGGACAGTAGTTTCCTTTGTTTAAAAGAATAGAAATGTTTTCAGTAATCATACGTATTATAACCAGTACATCGCCTGTCCCATGGACGAAACTACTACTACTAAAACCAGTACATATCAATTACTATGTATAAAAAAAAAAATTTAAAAGGTCAGCAGATTCTTATGTACAGTAAACATCTAAAAATCCTATTTTTACGGCTTAAAACGTCGACTCGAAAAATTTTTAAAGTACATTTTTAATTTTACAATTTTTTATCTATAAAATTATTTTTTCTTCGTAGTTAGTAAATGTATGCTATCTTTTATTAAAAATAACTATTATCTAGACAATTATTGTCTTCCCTATCAAAAAAATTAAATTATCAATCATTATTTTATAGGAGTATATTTAAAATAATCAAAAGTAAATATAACAGATATGTAATACGTATGTACAGAAATCAATCAGAATAATTTATTTTACTTACATACCTCAAAGGAACAATTTGGTGATCGGACTTCAGTGTATCAGTATTGCGAATTAGATCACAAAATAACCGGAATAATTACCAGATAAATCGCTTTACGATACAATGTTTTGCACGTCAATTTACGTAAACACGCGTCGATTTAGATAGACTGCCTACGAACACGACACTACCAACCCAAACACCTTCGCTTGATTTGATTGATAAACAAAACTTCCGTTTCTTGCAGCGCGCGCATTTTAATGTTGCTATTACGAAAATATATTAGTGATTGGGTAGTTTTAATGTTATTATAAATAATTGTTGTTTTATATTGCAAGCTTGGAAATACTCCAATCTTGACAAAAGATAATTATCCTTCGATTATAATCGATGTTTTAATAATATTTTCTAAACTACTATATGTATATAGTGTTACTTATATATTTTTTTGCTACTAGTAAAGAAAATATATGATATAGGTAAAATAGATGCATTTAATCGGATTATTTCTCAAAAAACTAACTTAGTGACTTATAAAAAACTACTATCAAAATACCTACTGATAAGAGAATTTGATACAAAAAAATTTGGTGAAAATTACGCAAACAACAGAAATTCTCACAAATTATTTCAAAAATATCTTTATTAAGTATGTGGATGCATGTATAACTTCATAAAAAATACAAAAAAAATAATACTTGAGACCAAACTGTATAGCCTAAATCCCACTGTGAATATAAAAACACTTTCACGTTGTTTTATGTCAATGTCATTTTTGATAAGTTGTCATTTTGACGTGTCACAAGCACCGATCGCCAGGGGAGCCCTAATAATTTTCCAAAATCCTTTAATTAAAATTTTCTTGGAATCTGTTAAGTGCAGATAATTGGAATGGGATACAAATTTTTGAAACTCGCTTCTTCTCAATATCGGGTAAATACTATCATTATTAATAAAAAGATCTATATAAGATTAAAATTTGACAGTTGTTATGCAATAATGTTGTCTTGTTTTAAGCTATTATTTTTATTAATATATCTTAAGAATTTATCTAATAAACCTTTTCAAAATTTTCGTTAAATGACAAATTTTGTATAATTCCTTATCATTATTACTCGGAGTCAGTAGGTATGTTATTGACCTTCAAGTGTATGACCGATTGTGATACGTTGAAATTATTTATTTTTAATGATAAATAATTAATTAAGTAAAAAAAATGTGAAGGCCTAGATAATTATTTAAAATAATATCTTGACTAAATCCTGTTTTTTAGAATGGAGGAGTAAGAATTATTGCCAGACAATATTCAACTACCCATGATGCTGACCTAGTGGTGATCGGTGCAGGACCTGGTGGATATGTTGCCGCCATTAAAGCTGCCCAAATGGGCATGAAGGTTTTATTTTTGCTTTTAAATTTTATAGACTTGTCAAACCTATTAAATAATTTTCTTCCTAAATCTGTAATATGAGTATCCAAATAATTATTTCACATAGTAGTTCCACAGATATAAACAATAATCTGTATTATGTAAATGAAAGATTAGGCAAGATTTGATACTTGGTTTTGCCTAAACACACAATTTATAAACAAACTTATATTCACATTTTTGTATATTGGCAAGAAATTAATCTTTAACATTTGTTTTTCACTGTATACCTTCCACGTTTAAATGTACAGTATACACTAGATTCTTAGTTGGAAACATGTTTAAAAGTAAATATTCTTACTTAGTATTTGCTCAGTGAACAGTTTACAAATAACAGAAAAGTAAACCAGATTAATACTAGAAATAAAACTATACTAAAATGAGTAGATAAAAATGCAGTGTGTATTTGATCACAGGTAGTTTCAGTAGAAAAGGAAGCTTCTCTTGGTGGTACATGTCTAAATGTTGGCTGCATACCTTCTAAGGCTCTTCTACATAACTCTCATCTATATCATATGGCCAAACATGACTTTAAGCATCGTGGTATTGAAGTTGGCAATGTCTCTTTTGACTTCAAAGCAATGATGGACTACAAAGTCAAAGCAGTGAAGGGCCTAACTGGAGGAATTGGCATGCTGTTCCAAAAGAATAAGGTTTGGCAATAACACATTGACAATAAATTCTCAAAATTTTTATTTGATAATTTGGTATGGATTCCTGCATTTTTTAAATTATTTTATAATAACTAATTGAAACCATAGTTTTTGTGTAAAAATCAACTTATATCAAACAACCTTTGTATTAGACTGCTTTGCATGGTTTCAAGGTGTCACCATTATTCAATTCCCTATCTTTTCAATGTAGAAAATAAACTACATTGTTTTAGTTCTACTGCCTTATATTTATTATTAAAAGTAAATATTATTTATTATATCATCGCCAACCCTGCCTCAAAGTTCAAATATCCTGATGCCAAAAATGTTGCCTAGTGAGAGGTTGTTCTTAGGCAAAACTCAATGAAACACTAAATTTTAAATTTGTGGGAAGCTGCTCTATGAAGATGCGGGGTCTAGCAGATTAATAAAATTGGGAATGTGAGATACAATTTGTAAAATACAATCATTGATATTGAAACCAAGTCACAGGACATATTAGTATTTTAATATGAGAAAATTTCATAGGTCCAGCTTATTCGTGGTGTTGGCACACTTGTGGCACCAAACAAGGTTGAAGTTAAAGGTGAAAAAGGGGTAGAAACTGTGAACACAAAGAATATTATTCTTGCAACTGGCTCAGAGGTCACTCCTTTCCCTGGTGTTCAAGTAAGTATAAAAATAAAAAAATTATAATATTTTCTTTTTTTTTCATCATAAGGAAATATAAATCTTAATTAAGAGTACAAATGCTATAATAAAGCATAGAATATTATGCTTTGAGACTTTATCTTGCGCCAGTATGAACTGACCCTAATTAAAATAGTTAAAAATAATGTTAAACTGTATGTCTATTTTACAACCATGAGAAACTCATTGTATGTAGGTAGTAAATAAAAATATATACTTATTTTCAGATTGATGAAAAACAAATTATTTCATCTACCGGAGCTCTATCTCTTTCCTCTGTGCCCAAAAAGATGCTGGTGATTGGAGCCGGTGTTATTGGCCTGGAATTGGGCTCCGTGTACCAGAGGTTGGGAGCTGATGTTACTGCCATTGAGTTCCTAACTAGTATTGGAGGTAAAACATAGATGTTCATTTTATTAATCTTTTGCTGTGGCAACTTTCTATTCCTTTATCAACTTTGGCAACTGATTGCCATTTATATAAAATCGACTTTAAAAACCTTTACAAAATATTTATTCTTTTAAATGTTATCCATATATTAGAGAAACTTATTTTGAGTCAGCAGTTTGCAGCAGACTGCAATATATTTTCTTAAATATTTCAATGTATCTTTTTATTCACTTATTTAAAGTTATATAAGAAATTAATATAAGAAAGGTCATAGGAAAGCATAAAACACGATTTTACTTTTTTATACGAGAATAAGCGTCGCCTAGGAGGGTAATGTCCTATTATTATAGGTCAAAAAGTAATGCATTTGTAACAAATTAATATTATTGTATTGCACACAAGCTTTCCGCCAGCGGCTTCGCCTGCGTGGTACTTATAAACATTATACATATAAATTTTCCTCTCGAATAACTCCGTTTATTGATGAAAATCAAATAAAAAATCGTTGTGTAATTTTAAAGATCCGCGTACAGATAGCCCGAGGCGACTTTGTTTCATAATATTGTATATAGAAGCAAAATTTCACCCACTATAAACAATTACACATTTTACAAATCCGTATCCTACACCAGACTATATAATTATATCATACATCATTTTTGCATTGACATGATTAGATAGGATTTCCATTGAAAGTAACCATGCATATAATATAATACTAATGGTATAAATACGAAATAATATAAACACTGAATTGATTTCGATGAAATTTGGTTTATAGTTACACTTCATATTAACACAGTAGTTACTACGAATTCATACAAAATTCAAAGGAAACTCTAATAATAATATTGTCACAAAGTTAATTAATATGATTTTGAGAACAAACCAAATAAATTACATATTAAATGTGGTGAAAATGATGTAGAATAGAATACGTCTTTATCGAAAGCACACATCGCATTTACGTATAATAAAACATTATAATAATGACAAAAACAAAAAGAAACTATTCTTAATGAAAAATCCACTTTGTCCATGGGACTCCAACCCATGACCTTTCGCAAATCCGGATTTTGAAACGTCATGGGTTCTAATCCCATCACAGAGTGCAAAGGACAAAGCGGTATTCTGCCGAGGTCAGCGGTTACAACACTGACTATTTTTATTTTAAGTACATAATTTTACTTTACATAATTACATTTTACATAATTCTGTAGGTGTTGGTATTGATGGGGAAGTAGCAAAGACCTTGCAGAAGATTCTCACCAAACAGGGTTTGAAGTTCAAACTGGGCACAAAAGTATCAGGAATCAGTAAGGCTGGTTCCGTAATTAAAGTAGATGTCGAAGCTGCTCAGGGCGGCGGTAAGGAAACTGTAAGTTATTCCAACTTGTTGCATATCATTTTATATACTATATTTGCTTTTGTAATAAAGACAACTTTGATCATTTCAGTGCTGTATAAAACTATACAAAAATGAAGTTTTCTATATTTTATCGGGCCTGGATGTTGTGTTACCTTCGTTGTCTCAGATAATCCATAATACTACTTCAGCTACTTATCTTGAAATCTGAGCAATATATGTGATGTTGTCTTATATCTATTTTATCGTCATCTATCATCCGTGGGAAAGGTCTGTGAAGAACAGACCTTATCCACGGATGGCATTGAATCAATAGTTACCAGGAAGGCTAGTAACTACTGCATATGCATCCGGGACCAACGCCTTAACTTGCTTTCCGAAGCACGGTGCTAGAGATAATACATTTTTGGTCACCCATCCTATGATCGGGCCATTTTTTTAACGTTGGGAAATGTAACTTTAAGCCTTAAACCAGGGCTCTCTAACCCCGCACCTGTCTTGAAAAGGAAAGGCTTAAGCGAGGCAGGCCTACCTAGTAAAACCTGCTACGAGTTCCCTCGGGGGAGGAGTTCTTATATCTTATAATGTCTTACATTCAGACCTTGCGAAAGCGGCTAATTGTTATCTATAATATATAAAGCTTCTATAATATATAAAGCTTAATTTTTATAATCTAGTTGCGAAATAGTAAATATGTTCTATTGCAGTTATTTATTTATATGAATGTTATTAGCTCGAATGCGACGTAGTTTTGCTGTCTATCGGCCGTCGACCTTACACCAAGGATCTTGGCCTTGAAAAAGTAGGCATTGCTCTCGATGACCGTGGCAGAGTTCCAGTCAACAATAAATTCCAGACCACAGTACCTGGGTAAGGACAAAAAATATAATCCACATTTTATGTATATTTGATGAATCTTGCATTGAAAATACTATGTTTTGATATTTATCTTACAGAAAAATGCTTAAAATCCAATCTTGGGCACATGGAATGAGTAAATTTCTAATCGAAATCTTTGTATTTTACTTATTTAAATATAATTTACATTATTCTATTACTTATCTTTATCATAAGATGGGGGAATTTGTATTTTCATTATTTATTCGGTTACATTTTCAGAATCTATGCCATCGGTGACATTATTCATGGACCTATGTTAGCCCACAAAGCTGAAGATGAAGGAATAGTATGTGTTGAAGGTATAAAGGTGAGTCTATGGCCAAGTCAAACAATACGGAATATGCACTTTTTTTTTTAATATAAATAGACTTGAAAATTGTCTCATTATTTTTAAAGTGCAATTGAAAACATTGAACAAACTTCAGCTATTCAAACGCCGCCATTTAGAACGCGCTTTTGATGACGTCATTGGTCGCGTCCAGTGTTTGTTACTTCATACTATTCTCAGTTTTAATTAATATACAAATAATTACAAAAGTTAAAACACCTTCATGTAAGTATTGTATGTATCTGTGCACCCGATAAAGTATTTTTCGTATTCCAAGCAATGCTAGAGTATAAAAACAATGGTACAAGTTGATGAGAAAGGAAAATGTATTTCCATTATCGGTTTTATTTTGTTGTATTTGATCACCATAAGATTCTCGTTCCAAAATAAATCCAAAATCCGAATTCACTCAGGGTTCTTTGTTTGAATTTGAATAAAAAACTAGTTTTCGTTCTTAATTATATGACCAGCCAATAAGAAGTAATTCTTAGATTAGATTTTACGTTTTGGAGTACAATAAAAAAATAATGCATACAACAAGATATGCATAAAAAAGATAGTATCTCAATTGTTGATATGAATTCTGTAAATGTAAACTTCGACATAGTTTTGAAAGAGCTTAAATGTACTAACATCAACAAAGGGGCTGGTTTTGATGGTATTCATCCAATTCTCATTTCCAATTGTGCTAAAGAGCTAGCGAAACCTGTTACCATATTGTTTTATGCTTCTTTGGAGAAAGGAGTTTTTCCTGCGAAATGGAAATATTCTTTGATAACTCCTATTCCAAAAAATAGTAGTAGAGATATTTTAACAGAGTATAGGCCAATATCCAAGCTGTGTGTTTTGGGTAAAATTTTAGAAAAAATAGTAACGTCCCAGATCGCTGTTGCGGTTCGTAATTATACATCTCCTCAACAACACGGGTTTTTTAAACTTAGAAGTGTTGAAACCAATCTGGCGACATTTACTGACTATTTACTACAAGCAATGGATGATAATTCACAGGTTGATGTCGTGTATACCGACTTTTCTAAGGCTTTCGATAAAATTAATCATTGTCTGCTCATTGACAAGCTAGCAAGAGCCGGTATACACGGCAATCTACTTAGATGGGTTGAGTCTTACATAAAATATAGGTTTCAGGCAGTTTGTCAAAGGGTATACTTCACAATTTCTTCCGGTACCATCCGGCGTTCCTCAAGGTTCGCATTTAGGCCCATTGCTTTTTTCTTTATATATTAACGATATAGGACATGCAATAAATAGTCAACACTTACTTTATGCTGATGACGCAAAATTATTTAGAGTTATAAAGTCCCATGACGATTGTAAAATGCTTCAAGAAGACTTGGATTCGTTGAAGGAATATTGTTCATCAAATCAACTATTCTTGAATATAAAGAAGTGTTTCATAATGACATATACACGTAAAAAGCATCAGTTTGACTTTCAATACACATTGGAAGGTACCGTAATCAAACGTGTGACTAAAATTAGAGACCTAGGAGTAATTATGGACTCCAACTTATCCTTTAATTTACATATAGACCACATATTGAATTCTGCTTTTCGAAGTCTAGGATTCATACTAAGACTAAGTAAACCATTCTGCAAAACTATTACTCTAAAAATTTTGTATTTCTCTTTCGTTCGATCTCTTTTAGACTTTTGTAGCATCATCTGGAATCCATATTACCAAAAACATATCAACAGACTTGAAAGAATTCAAAAAAAGTTCATTAAAACTCTGAATTTCCGCAATAACATACAAAATGAATCATATAACGATGCCTTGACCAGATACAAACTACTAAGCCTTTCTAATAGGCGCAAAATGTTTGATATTATTTTCCTTTTCAAAATTCTCAATTCACAAATTGATTCATCTTTTCTTCTTAGTAAAGTCTCCTTTTTGGCACGCATTCGTCTTCCAGTGCGCTCCTCACGTAAATTATCATTCTTTGTTCCTCCAAAATTGCATAAAAATTATACACGAAACTCTTACTTTTATCGTTCCACCAACATTTATAATAAAGAATTCTCCGAGCTTGATCTCTTTAATTTGTCAATTTCTGTATTGAAGACAAAGTTAAAAGATATGCTATGTAATTAGATAGTTTTCTTAAGAGCAATGTAAGTATATAATTGTACAAAGTCATTCTTTTGCCGAATGTTTTTGTTTTATATGTATGCGTGTCTTATCATGTAAATTCTCTTATTTATTTGATTCAAAAAATGTAACTTTTAGGTACTATTGGTCTGTAATTTAAAGCATATTTAATCATACACACTTTGTTATGTAAATGACTGTTTGATACCAAAATAAATGAAAAAAAAAAAACAAGCTTTTTTAAGTAAATGTGTTATTTCCAAGGGAGCATTCTTAATTATATGGCCACCACTGTATATATTGAAAGAAATTAATTGATATATATCAATACTTAATTGTGTAAACAGTTTTTATATTTGTCATACACAACAGGAAAAAAGGTGGCTAGTTTACAAAAGTGTTTAAAAATAACATACGTTTATGATATTCAACAACATAATATTACCTACGTAAAATTCTAATATATAGACTTAATTTAGGAGTTTAGGGAAAATTTTAATGGTAAATTGGTATGTTTAGGATAGATATGTAACAAATAACCAAAAAAAAAACTTTTAAGATATAATGTAAAGACATTAAAAAATTAATATTTGAAACTATTTTAAATGTTATGCGTATTCCATATTCAAAAATGTTGTCACTGAAAACAAAAAAGAAATATTAATTTATTTAGTAAATTAAATGATAATGTAATACTGATAAAATGTGGCAATGGTATTCCTTATTAAAACTTCGTTATAATACATTATTTGCATTATATTTTAGGGTATGCCTGTCCACTTTAACTACGACGCCATTCCATCGGTAATCTACACAAGCCCTGAAGTAGGTTGGGTCGGAAAGACTGAAGAAGATCTGAAAAAAGAAGTAATGTATTTGCATTTCCTTTTTATATGTTTTTGGTTTCTTTTCCAATAATTTTCTTCTTATATAATAGCAGTTTGAAATACATGATTTGGTATTACGAGTACTTTTCTAGGATTATATTTATACATTAGACTCCTTACTGATAAGCAGTGTCTAAGCATTGTGTAGTTATATAGTGATTTTTCCTTTTTACTCAAATTGTAAGTAACATGAAGTGAGCTTTGTGTAACTAAACAATGGTCATTAGTTTCATATTAGTATAGCTATAAGATTATATTATTTTCAGTAAAATAATAACTTTCTAACAGGGCAAAGCATATAAAGTTGGCAAGTTCCCATTCGTGGCCAACTCTAGAGCGAAAACCAACAGTGAAACTGATGGCTTCGTAAAAGTTCTATCCGACAAGACGACCGATATTATCCTAGGAACACATATCATTGGTCCCGTGAGTACTATCTTTTTAGATGATATTTATAATCATTGTTACGTTTTACATTATAAAATTAACTACGGTGATGGACAGTCCATTTGATTGAGTATTGAAAAATCTACTGTAAAGAACTCGACACAAAGATCGCTAGATAGCAGAACTTTTCTTATTTATATCACGTTTTAATATAACAAATCATTTCTTGGCTGATTCATGACTTTCTAATGAATACTATCTTCTATGGGTGTTTTATTTACATATCGATATAACGTCATGAATATGACGGGTATACAAAATATGTTTAAATTTAATTTTGAAGACAAAACGTGTTTGTTTAACAAAAAAAAATTTAATGTTAAATTACAAAATACATAAATTATTTATATCTTAGGGTAAATTACTGTGGTAATTCACAATTACTACAAAAGGTTCTATTAAAAAAAAACATAATTACACCTTACCATTTATATCACATCCCACCCCAAGATTGACTGGTAGAGAATGCCTCTCACATGAAGTCCTCCTATGTACACTTATGCATGAAAGGTTATATGATTAAATATATATACAGGGTGGTGGCGAACTGATCAACGAGGCTGTATTAGCGCAAGAATATGGAGCATCCGCTGAGGACGTCGCGAGAGTTTGTCACGCGCATCCTGTAAGTTTATAATTGTCATCCTTATTGAGATCGACTAAAGTCTGGTTTCTGAGTGTAGATGACCTTGTTATTTTATAGATATCAAAGTTCGCTGATAAATATCAATTGATATTTATTGTTAATTTAATTATTGAGTCTCAGTAAAAAAAATAACCAACCCGATGTGATGCTGGTAACATTAGTCTGAAGTAGCATATTTTACTAGAAATTTCGGGTTTTCCCCTATACGTTACTGGAAATCCTCGTACGCATACTACTTTTTAATTATATTATATTAAATAAACAAATATTTAATAACTCAAACTGAACTTTTTTGGGAACGAAATATTTACATATTTACAGGTACCAAATAAAATAATCCTAGTTTTATGTGTAGTTTCTTTAATAAATTTATTTCATTTGCTGAATATACTCGTATGATCAATATTTCCGTGAACTCCTTACATATGTTGTGAGAAACGGAGCCTTAGTCTGAAGAAATGTATTTAGATACCATTATATCTAAACAAATTATCTATTTAACCAATTATCAATCACCAGTCTTGATATTAAGAGGGCATCAAAATTTCATATTATTAAATAATAATGTTAAAATTTTAATGCATACATATTAATGAATTCTCTTAGTCTAAGAAATTATTACTCATTCTAAACGATATGATTTCTTGCAGACTTGTGCAGAGGCGCTACGTGAAGCGAATATGGCTGCGTATATTGGAAAACCAATTAACTTCTAATTTAGTTAATCTGTTATAATATGTGCGTATCCAATTGAACAGCAGGGTACTACTACATTAGAAAAGTAGGCGACTGTTGAATGTCTTCTAAGGAATCTTGTATGAATCTGATTGAAACGATTTTGGATATATTCCGTACATACCAACACGTTGAACTAACTTAACAATTATTCTGTTTTTTTATTTTAATATATCAATTTGTTAATATTGTGAACATGAAACATTTTAATAATATTTATTTTGGAAATATTTATTTACGTTCTTAAGTTTCATTCCAGTTTTGTTTGAAATATCCAAAATCCTGTTGCATTTACTACGAGTAAATGTAGTGTACATTGATGTATTTATTTTCGTTTTGTAAATAGTTATACTGAAATACAGTTATTCGCAAAAACAAATGTTTTTCTTTCCTTGACGTTTTTTTTTAAAAATCAGGATATATATCGTTGATATCAGCGAACCCTGCTTAAAATACTGCCAGTAGGTATAATGAAAGTCACTATTATTTTGTGATATGATATTATAATTATTTCAATACATTTGACAGAATCATAAGAAAACGAGCTATAAAAATAATTATTACAATTGCTCATAAAAAATACTACAACTATGACTAGACTGAAAAGAAAACATGGGTATGTTATGATAGATGAAATGAAAAAAAAATGATTGTGAAGTAGGTATATACCAAAACTACAGAGTATTTAACAAAATATCACATACTACGTAACTCTAACAAGAACAAAAATAACATATCACAAATACTTAACACTAACGATAAAATAACATTAAAAAGTGTAAAACGTTACATTAATCTATTGTCAGTTTTCATGAAAACAAGCAATTCGTTACATACATAAGATTGTTCATGAGCACAAAAAATATACATAGTATAAATCAGTCGCTTCCCGCTTTCTGTACGCTGAGGACTACACAATTTTTATGCAGTTTTTATAAATATACAGAGTGATTCAAGAAGGTTTGTATGTCAAATACAGGACCATCCCACTGACTTTAAACAAACTAGAATTAACTGAAAAACGATGTGCAAAAAGACTAGGTCGGTGCAAATCTGACGGAAGATCCATCGCGTATCAGACCTGACAATACATATGACATTTATTGGATATGTATTTTAAATATGACATTGACAATACATAAGGGGCCGTCCATTAATCACGTGAGACTCGAAAGGGTGAAAGGGCTCGTCAAAAATCACGAAATATCACAAGGGGGGAGGAGGGGTGTAGTAATATATCACGTGTATTTATCTTTTCCTCAACCACGCGATTACTCAACCGAAAGGCGGCGTTTAAATTAAGATTTTTTGTAGATACTTAACATACACGTGATGGGAGGAGTTAATCTTAAACCTCACCACGGGGGAGGGGGGGGAGGGGGTTGAAAATGCTGGAAAAAACATGACGTGATTAATGAACAGCCCCTGATATGACATTCAACCTTCTGCATCTTAAACATGTTCTTAATGAAAAATGTATTAACTTCAGGTACTTTGAAATGGGACTCGAATCCACGACCTTTTGCATTTTTTCGCAGACCGAGCGTCTGCTCTAACCACTGAACTAACCAGAACCTAACGGAACTAACGAATTTTCAAGCACTTCTTACTTTTCGCTATTTGTGAGCGTATTTTTATTTCATCAAAGTTCACGCAATTCACCCAAACTGCCGAAAGGGATATTTTCCAAATATAAAAAAAAAAAATGGTTAATTCTATATAATTAGATTAGAGCAGTCGCCCGGGTTACGAACGGTCGTGGTTTCGAGTCCCATCTCAAGAGTACTTCGAGCTGTATATGTTTTCACGTATAGTATTGTGAATTCAATATTGATCAAATTTAATAATGATAAATGTTGTTAAATAAAAGCATTGATTGAAATAAAAGAAATCTTACATAAAAAGCGACCGTACTATGCAATAAAAACAGTGAGTGCAGTTTCTGTTTAGTCACACCTAAAATATGTGTATTACAACGTAAAATCGTAAACATTATCAGTTCATAATAGGTACCGTTACTTTTATAAACAGTGCCGGATTAAGGCTACTCGATGCCAAAAGCATTCATTGAAAAGTAAACTATTTCGATATTTAAAAATACATATATAATATAACAAGACAAATCACTACCTACCCATGGATATGTATTGTTAGATTAAAAATATCGAAAACCACGAACATCACTAAATAATTATTGTATTACGAGAATCACTATCTGTCAATAAGCTGTCATTGACAATAGCATAAGATGAGATTCGCGCCATTCGTACATTTAAAAAAAAGGAAGTGAATTAATGAGATAGCGTTGAAATCAATTTAAAATATAAAATAAACCTAATAAATCAGATAATGTTGTATTTTCAATAGTATGAAAGTCAGAGACAGGTAGTGAATTTCCAAAAAGCTGCCGTTTATGGTTTGGCCCTGTGGTTTGGTTAGGTTAGATTAATTGTGCCCTACGATTCTGTAATTATCCATACCCTTATTCAAATTCACAAAAGTGTCTGAATTCACTTAAAAAACGGCATCCACTCAACCTTGAATTGGTAATAATTTTTATGGCACAAGTGAAGTGGATTTCGAAATGACATAGGAATAGAATATCAGAGACACGTATATCCAATCAATTATGTTTTGTATCTTTATATAAACATTGGAATCAATAGAATTTCTTCAATAAACGACGTGAATGAATTCGAATTAGAGTATGCATATTTACAGAATCGCAGTGCTACACTGATTATAAACCATTATAAATTAAATTACAATTATTATTGTAAGAATTATTATGTGATAATATTGAAAATATTACATTGACATTTAAACTACGATACGAAATCTTTGCGGCACAAAAAACCGTGCAGTAAAACATCAAAACAAGTTGTGCATTCATTATCTCATTTATAATTATCTTCATGCATTATAATTCTTATTTACTAAAATATATATAATCGGACTCGAGGCAAATCGAATTTAGTTGCCAAACTCTCCCAGACTTATCCAATCTGATGTCATACTTGTATTAAATGATATATTAGTATATGTAGTTATGAACATATATGTGTATATTATATGTATTGTTTAAGTATACCTCAATTGTGCACTTGACCACATTTTATCTCCACATCACCCATCCGGTTTACTGATAGAAAATACCAACGGCATTAATTCCGCCAATGGACTATGTGCATGAAGTGTTAAATAAATAAATATATAATAAAACTTTGTTCATAGGAACTTTATATATAAGAACTACCCGTACAGTTTAAAAAATAACAAAATTCATCACATTTACGTCGCCACGAACTTGATTTTTTTACATATTCTGTCCGTTACTTTCGTTAACACGAGAATAGCAAAGTTACGCCAACATTAAGCCAAATCGGCAATATCAACTCCAAGTATCTAGAACTTGGCTACACATATTCAAGTAGAATTTTGGGGAGAGTATTTCGCTATACTGCATGCAATCATTTGTATACATAATAGCATCCGCCATTGTCGTTGCATTACTTTCCATATATTTACGAAGAACAGTCTCCAAATCGGGAACGGACAAATCATTGTCTATGAAAAAATCTTTGGACAATCTAAAGCATGTTTCCCAAAGTGTCACATCCACAGGGAATAAGCTCATGCATTCGTCTATAATGTTCGCTGCTTTTGTTGACAAATTGCGTTCTGAAGTATTTATAATAAAATTTGGAGTTAGTTCTTTGGGTAAATAGTTAAATTCGTCACAACAGCAAGGTAAAGTTTTAAACAACTCGAAGTCCACTTCAGGATATCGTTTTTCGTTCAAAAGATATAGTGACACCTCTTTGATTCGTTTAGACATTATATTAGTTATAGTAATTTTAAATCGGTCCTTATTATGAACATGATCTGTTTTATCTGGATCTTCATCAATCTCTGTATGATTGAAATACAAACAGTCGTCTTTTGGAACAGTTTTGAGGTTTTGTAAAAGGAAATTCAAACATTTTGAATACATCTCATTGTGGAAAGCAAATTTCGCTGACATATTCAAGTTTCCAGTTAACTTTTCTTCGCTGATCCATGGTTTTAACAATAAAATAAGGTCATCTGCCCACGATTTTTTATTGAAATCATTCAAACCCACCAGTGGGTTATGTGCTGGCTCAATGAGTTTCCTCTCTGAACCTTCGATATTGAAAGGAAACATGACATCTATTCTGTCAATCTTTTTGAAAAAGAACTTGCTGTTGCTATCTTTTGCTGGTATCTTTATGACTCGTTTAGTGGTTTTCATCATAATAACGCGAGTATTGGTTTTCTCTTTCACTGTGTTATTACTAGCCTGAAAAAAAAAACTAGCTCAATTACCAATATAAGACGTGACACGTGATATTTTGAAATGTGATACATTTCAATAAACTTCATCAAGCTAATTTTGCAATAATGAAATATCATTACGGTTCACATAAGTTAGCATTTCAAACATATTTCATAATAAATTTTTATAAATGTCAAGTAGCCGATACTAAGGCTTTAGTTACTTAGATTGCGATCTGCCCTGTGATTCTGTAAAACAAACAAACCCGAATTCGAATTCACTCAGTGGTCCCAATTTACTTCAAAAAGCGGCATCCGCTCAACCTTGAATTAGTTCGTGGCATAAGTAATATGAGTTTCGAAATGACATAAGAATAGATCTGAGATACATATATACAATAATTTTTGTATTTTAATAAAAAAAATGGAATCAATAGAATTTCTATACTCAATGAAGTGAATTCGAAATCGGGTCTGGATTTTTACAGAATCGGAGAGTTGAGCGACATATGTGATAATGTCTAATAATTATTTTTATTTATTGACTTCTGAAAACGAAATAAAACAAACAGAAATTTCTACCGGTTGATAATTCCCGCAGGCGTAGACGCGGCCGTCATCGCTAACGTATACAGTAAAATCGCCGCCGCAAGCCACTAGCGCTTTGCTACAGAAATCTTTGTCCTCTACTTCCGGTGTCTTGGGGGAGCTTTTCTTTGAATCATCACAAATTTCCACCTCCGTAGGTATAATCACTTGCTTCCGATCGCCACTACCTGCGAAAAATATTGTATTCGTAGATTCTATAATGAAATAATAATATGGCACTTACACTTTCAATAAAAATAATCATGAGCACATTAAACTAGGAAATTTTTAACGCTTACCTAATTGTCCATCGAAATTTAATCCCCATGAGTAAAAAGTCCCCATATTATTAATCAAGCACGAATGATGCCAACCGGCTGCTATCTGCAACACATAGTCATGCATTGAATGTAATCATCATAAACTGCACTGGCTTTATTTAAACGTAGGCACATCTATGTTTCGTTATAGTACAATCCTCCTTAACCATCCATAAGGAAGGCCTGAGTCCATGAGCTTGGTTATGTAAGAGGGTCAACGGGCGGATCGCTAGGGGATGTGGTGGGTATAAGTAACTGACTGGCCTGTATTATCCGACCGCATACATTCTGTATATCGACGAGCGAGGGGACGAAGTGAGGGTTAAACGGGCGGGTTGCTAGGGGAGACGGTGGGTATATAACTTACTAAAATGTACTATCTGGCCGCATATATACAGTGTCTTGACGAGCGACGGGACGAAGTGAGGGTTAAACGGGCGGGTTGCTAGGGGAGACGGTGGGTATATATCTTACTAAAATGTACTAACTAGCCGCGTACATTCTGTTTTGACGAGCGAGGGGACTAGGTGAGGGTCGACGGGCGAGTCGCTAGAGGAGGCGGTGGGTATATAACTAACTGACCTGTACTATCCGGCCGTATACATTCTGCGTATCGACGAGCGAGTCGCTAGAGGAGGCGGCGGGTATATAACTGACTGACCTGTACTATCCGGCCGTATACATGCTGCGTATCGACGAACGAGTCGCTAGAGGAGGCGGCGGGTATATAACTGACTGACCTGTACTATCCGGCCGTATACATGCTGCGTATCGACGAACGAGTCGCTAGAGGAGGCAGCGGGTATATAACTGACTGACCTGTACTATCCGGCCGTATACATGCTGCGTATCGACGAACGAGTCGCTAGAGGAGGCGGCGGGTATATAACTGACTGACCTGTACTATCCGGCCGTAAACATTCTGCGTATCGACCAGCGAGGGAACGAGGTGAGGGTCGACGGGCGGGTCGCTAGGGGACGCGTTGGGTGAGCCGGTACGACGTGCGTTTGCAGCTCGCACCTGTTGCGGACTCGCGCCCCATGTGTATAACTGCCCTTTACACGTCAGCGCCAACTAACAAGTAAATTTATACATATTAAGGGATATGTATAAATTTATACATATCCCAATGTAGGTCAAAATTCAAAAACCCGAAGACAAATATATATTTACTTCCTAAAGAGTGCACAGAGTTTCATGTCTTTATATTCGATGATGACAATACTAAATAATAAAAAATCATACGTTATTTCAACCCCTTTAAGCCTATATATACATAATCTCAGCGAATTCACAACAAAGATATGACAAATAAATAATCAAATATGTCTTTGTAAACACAAGATCAGTCGGAAATACAAATAAAATTGGGCTTCAAATACCTAAGCGATCACGTGCATTCAAAAAACCAAGAAAAGTAAAAGTTTACAATTTTACGAACGTAAAAGGATCAACTTACGGTATGAAAATAACCGGCAGCGATAATTTCGACGGCATCGGGTAGTACGACTCGTATCGGTATAGAACTCTTCTCGCGGTTGCCGGAGCCGAGCTGACCAAATATAGCGGGTCCACACGCCCATACTTCACCGTTCTTCATCAACGTAACTGTATGGCACGCTCCGCAACCCACTGACAATACCTGGTGAATAGCAGATTTCTTGTCAGTTTCACAAACGTCCGTTAAGGTAATTAATGTGGCCTTTAAGCTCTAATGAGTGTCAAATTTGTATGGGTAATGTCGCTTTAAGCTAATGAAAATTTTCAATTTGAATGACGTCATACATAGACAATCTATAGATCAACATGGCGGACAGCGTTTACGCACCTCGAAGAAAATTAAAGATTCAAATGACAGTTTTTCGGTCTTTAGGTGTCGAAAAAAAATTTGTAATATATAGTCAAGTAGCCTATTGCTCTGTGAATTAAGTATGCAACATTTATTACCCTATAATCCCCTATGACGTAGTGTCAAAATTCAACGAGCAAGTTCGGATGATTTCCCCTTTATTAACATCATATATCTGCTCAGATTCCAAATTAAGAAACAACACTCAGACCCAGAAAAAAAATACATAGACCCGACTGGGAAAAACGGTGAGACCTTGAAATCGACCGATTTTTACCTATTTTTAACATTGCCAAATATTCTCAAACCAGAAACTTTATCGAGTTCTTGAAAACCTGGTACAGATACTTGGCATGCGTGTAGGCATGTGTTATATTATTTTATTTTATATATTACAATTAAAATCTACAACATTTAACCAATGCATATATTATTTCGTAATTCAAGAAACTATCTACTAAAATTTGATGTCTTGTTATTTACCTTCCTTCCTTGAAACTTTGCGACCATTCTCGGACTGTGCTCATCATCTATAATACCGTGACCAAGTTGACCATGAACTCCCCAACTGTAATAGGACACCACGGATTTAAGGTAAGTTTTTCTTTTGGTGCTAGTAAATTTACTTTTAAATCTATATATACTAACATAATAAAGAAGAATATTTTGATTGTTTGTTTATTTGCAACGAATAGGTTCCGAAACTACAGAACCGATTTTTAAAATTCTTCCACCTACAGGAAGCTACATCATATACGGTGAAAATAGGCTATATTTTATCTCGAAAAACCGCAAATAGACAGATGAAAATGGGAGTAGAAGTAAGTATAGGGATTAAAAAGGTTACCATAGTAACCATTGTTTGCTATTCCATACCATGATATGAATCGATATCCAAATAAACAGTTAGGGACCAAGCGTGAGAATCCGCTGGCGGAAACCAAGTAGCTCGTATAAATATCAACTCACCCCCAAGTGTAAAGCCGCCCGCCTGCATCTATAGCGGCAGAGTGGTAATGACCACACGCTATATCCACCACCGGGGCCGTCCATTGGTACGGCACGTGTAACAAACGGCCACCACTACTGGCCGTATCACCAACGCCGCCCGCCCAACAATTGCCAACACCTAACTGCCCATATGTGTTGTCGCCAGCTGAATATACCTATCAAACAGTTCAGTTAAAATATATTATTTTTATTTTTGTCGTAATCATTAAATTAGGGCGATACATTTTTTTTATTTTTATTTTATCCACAATCAGTCTCACAACTATGAATGGATTGGTTGTAGGCAGATTCTGTTGGAGAGGGTGTACTCTCCATTAAGAGTACTACCCATACTGTGCAAGGCTACACTCTGTCATGTAGCTTCATTATATTATTCCTTTTTAAGCGGCTTGGATAGTTTTGCACTTTAAGTTGGGCTGCCAAATCATTGGGGTGCGAGGCCAGCCGTATTTGGTAATTTTTCTAGGTTGCTCTGATTTCCTCTTTGACAGTTTTTACCTCCAGGTTGGTATTTCATTGTTCGTAACAAACCATGGGACATTTGCTATAGCGCGAAGTATCATATTTTGCAGTCTCTGTATGATGGCAATATTGGTGTTGCTTGCGCTCCCCCATAGTTGTAGTTGTATACATCCACACTGGCTTTAATATTGTCCTGTATATTAGGAGTTTATTGTCAACTGACAGCTTACTATTACGACCGAGTAGCCATAGTGTGAACTTATATTCTATATTTAATTCTTCCCTTTTAGCTTTTACGTGATTTTTCCACGTTAGTCTCCTATTAAGGTGTAGATATTTCACGCTATTGCTGTGTGCTAGTGTGGTATTTCCAGGGTGAACAGGGGTACAGTCACCTTTTCTCAGAGAGAATGTAATGTGTACGGACTTGGATGCACTTGCCTCTATTTTCCAGGTCTTCAGCCAATTGCTTATTGCAAGGGCGATACATTGAATTAAAATGTTACATCACCCTTTGTAACGGTGTACCGTACCACCGTTTATTTCGTCCTAGGTTTCAGCATGCAAAATTTTTATCTTTGATATTCAACATCATTTCTTTTTATTATTCACCTTTCGTTATTTCAAGTTTTGACTAACACAATATGCTCTTTATGAATGTCAGTTCGTAAAAATTAATGTGTTATTAACATGTTATTATAAATCATATAAATTTAAATATAAAATATTATAATGATGAAGTTATAATGATTAAAATAGAAAATATATATTATTTAAAATAAAATTATATCTTGAAATTACGGCAAACCCAAAAAGGGGTATCTATTTGTTCGAATTGGTAAATGACATATAATATTATATTTAGTTAATCATACGAACTGTTTTTATATTCATTTTTTGTTTGTTACAGTTTTTTCTTTACCCTTTACTTTATTACCATAAAATAAATCAATTCCCAAGCTGAGTCAGAGTTTCATAAATTCGCCTAAACATTGAACCCGTCACACTGTGACGTAGTGAGCCCCCACTTCTCAACTTTAATGTCTATTTCTAAGCAATTTCTTGTTAAATTGAAGTAAAAAAAAATATACGTATCTGATATTTTTCTATTATCTGACTGGCGGACTAAATTCAATTTCTTTTTTTTTACCGAGTCGCTATCTCTATTAGCACTCTCGGTTAGCCATGAGGAAGTTACGCAACTTTCTTAAGGGCCAGAAAATTTATTATCTCGAGCTTCTTCATGCTTCGGAAAGCACGTTAATATATTGACCCCGGCTGAATGTGCAGCCGGTAAAACCCAACAATGCCTACATGGTGGGTCATCACCCATTCTCCACATTCGATTCCATTCATAGGGAAAGCATAAACCCCAACATTAATAAGCTGGTGATGATGATGGAGTGTTAACAACTGCTGATGCAACCGAAACTGAAATCTAATAGTAGTCACATAATAACTAAACAGATATTGTATTTTGTATCCTAAAACTGTATCTTATTTGTCTCATGCTTGTACCAGAATAAATAATTCACTCATTCATTCATTCATATTAGAAGAATATTTTTAGAATAGCATTCTAAATGCAAAATTGATGAAATATAATAATTAAATATTATGTATCAGAGCCACATTGACAGGTATTATAATTCTGCAATAGTCCATAGGTTCGTATGCAAAAAAGGGCTACCTATCCAATGAAACTTGGTTAACCTACATCTTTCTTTCAATCTTTCTTAGAGTAAGCTTTGAAGCTTTACTAAAAGAAATAGAAATAAATAAATAGACTTGAGCAAATTATAATCCTATAGAAAATTAATTACATTATCTTAAATATCTTATAGTATGTAAATAATAATAAAAAAGATACTTACCCCATTTTCGGTAAGCACTATAGTGTGATGTCTCCCACAAGCGACATCTATAACTCTCCCAATAATATCCGTTTTTATCGGAGTTTTCGTCATCATTATCTTGGCGTTTCCATCATCTGCCACAGACCAGTGAGTTAAACCACAACTGACTGATCTTCGTGGTGCGAACTGATTCTTCCAAGTTTCCACGTTTTGTATGACCTCTAGGCATATTTCCGGACACGGATGTCTAGCTTCGTATTCACAGGCAACGTGAATAAACGTCGCAATTAATTGTAGCATTCTTGTAGTCTAAAAATTAAAAATACTTAACATTTTTTGTAATGAGTTAGATAAAATAAACCAGAACTCTTACAGTACATGCTAGTACTTTTACAGTATCTGCATGTGGCATATGAAAAGTCAGCACCATCTGTTATATATACTTTTTTAAAATGATTTATTATGAATTGGATGTCTCATCTTTAAGCTTGTAAGATATTTATTTGATAAATAAATAAATAAAAGGATAAGCCTAGAAAGGAAAGGAAGAAAGTTGACAAATTTTCCTAGACATCGATTTACTTACTAATATATAATAACTTCAGTGAAACTTACATAAATTGATGAAATACCCTGTTTCATATCACGTATAAGGGGACGCAACTGATCTTGTAACGGGTTCAGCCATAGGCAAATTCGCTAGAAAAAGAAAGAGACAAATATATGGATTCCTTTCAACAAATTATAGGAAAATTAATAAATTTTACCATCGTTTTTACCTTTAAAATTATCGTATCAAACTTCTTAGATCGCTCAACAATATAATCGAAGAGCCACTGTGGATCTTCTTCCAATAGGAATGGTGTCAGACATGTTTGTCCTAATAGACAATTCAATGCTCCTCTGCATATATCATTTCTAGCTTTCACAGCTACGAGTATTAAATTTGGTAGACCACAATGAATGCTGAATGTTGGCAAATTGTCCCAAAGACCTATTGCAGCAGCTATACAGGATAACTCGGAGAGCTTCGCAGAGTTCAATAATGTTAGTTTTAAATTCCTTATAGGAAAAAAGAAATAAAAAAAATTAAACAGGAAAAGGCAAACAACACTCTGTACTATTGCACTACACTTATTTATCAAAAGCCTGAAGTTTATGTAAATACTGTAAAATAAAACCTATTAAGTTAACAAAATACAAAAAAAAGATAAACAATAATCTTACAGCTCATGCTTCTCCACATTATTTGTCGCCAGTTTCAACAACAGGGCTAGCAGTTTCAGTGTGATAGTAGCACCCCCGAGCCCTTGGTTTCCTGTTGGCTGGTACATAGACAATTTGTCGAGACGGCCAAATACACCAAGACGTGCCACCCACAAATCAGGTTGACTCTACAAAAAAGAATATAATAAATACACTACGCCAATGCCATCAAAACAACAATGAAAGCATCGACCACTTTTAAGTCATTGGTTCGTTTATTTCAAGGTCAGGCTTAGGGGCCATCCATAAGTTACGTCACACGTTAGGAGGGGGGGGGGGGGGGTCAACGAACTGTGACATTAGAACAATATTTAGTAGAATTTTTATAGACAAACATGTGACAGGAGGGGGGAGGGGCTTAAAAAATCATGAATTTTGTGTGACGTAATTTATGGACGACCCCTTATCGAATGAAGTGGGCGGCGTAAAAATGTCCTATTCTGGATTTGACTAAATTATCATTACTATTTTGATTTTATCAGCCTAGACAAAAACATATGCAACTTCAAAATATTACAAACATGCTCCTTGCACGATTCAATAGTGGTTTAAAAGTTGTTCTCCTATTTAAATAAAGGGCTGTCCTCAACTTGTTTATATAAATATACAAAAAAATACACATCATATTCATTTAAATAAGCATGCAAAGGTTTTTAAGTAAAGTTTTGCTGTTTAGAATATCTTAAAAAGTTGATGATGATCTTATTGAGATGCGATTATTCTTCAACATTAGCAGATTAGGTGTAAGAAGAACTTTTTTTATTTCTATTTTATAGATTTACATGAAATATATCCAAATAAATATTTAATAATGCACCATTCATATCATCATCCATAATAAGTGAAATCTAAAAATAAAACAAATTTTCAAAAATTTTCGCGTAAACTCCACTTTTTTGATATCGTCACTAACACGTCACGGCCCTCTGAAACTTATATAGTTGTATCAATAGTATAAATAGATGTACGTTGAATCAATGACCACTGACCTGGGAGAGGGAGAAAAGGTATTCTGCGGGTGCTACTTTTCCCCGGGACATAAGCAAATCGGCGGCGGCGCGCAAGAGTGCCGGCAACGGGGCGGCTAACGCGGCCGCCGCTTGTTCCGCGCCCACACCGCCCCGCGTCATTATGCCCACCAACCATTCGCACGGGTCACACCTAAAGGTGCGTTTAAAGATGCAATTAAACCAAACAAAGAGCTAGATCATTATTTTTTCTTCCGCTTATTGTCGTTTACACTAAACAAATATCAACGAACAAGAATTCTCATTACATTCGAATCAAGTACTAGAATTCAGCACCTTTAGATTATACCGGAAGATTGCTTAAAAACAAAAATATCGATAACTATTTGTACTTTAATCACTAGAATACAAGAACGCTTTGAAGAGACCGCTTCGATGAGCGAGCGTGTCCGAACACACAAGATCGCTCTAAGCAACTTTCTGCTCGTTCGAATGCCGTTGACGTTAAGCGAACAAGTATTCTTGGAATGTTCCATAGCAAATCTAGTTAGAAAACGAGTGAATGCTCTAAGACTGTTTACACTAAACTAATTTAATAGAGTGGCGATAAATAAGCATTCGCTCGTTTGGTGTAAATCGGCCTTAACTAGAACCAACATCATCATCATCAGCGCATTTACGTCCACACTGCAGAGGCTCAGGCCTTCCTTATGGATGGTTAAGGAGGATGGACCATGACCCTCCACACTGGTCCAATGCGGATTGGAGGAATTTACAATTAACGATTGCAAACACAGCCGGGACCAACGGCTTAACGTACCTTCCGAAGCACGGAATAACTCGAGATAATATTTTTACTACCTATATCGTGACCAATCCATGTGAAAGTTGCATAACAACAACGATCGCAGGCCGCGGCGCTTACGCGACATATCAACTCAATGTATCACCATAATTTAAGAATTACTAAAAAAATAAAAACAAATAAGTGTTAAAAATTCTTTAACAATCTACCTGACAGGCAGATTAACAAAAATTAGTCATCACCCCTGCTTTAAATATAAATTATGAATAGAAGAGTTCTTAATGAAAAATACTTAAAAAATCCTTGACCTTTCGCTCGAATTACGAAGGACAAAGTGGATTTTTAAGCATATTTCCTTAAGAATATTTGCAAGCATTGTAAATTCAAAATTGATCAAATATATTAAATAGAAAATTTATTTTAATACTGTAATAAAAAATCTATAAGTAAGGATGACTGATGGAAGTGATATTTAAAATCTACGACAAAATCTAAAAAAAAACTGCACAAATTACTCACACAGTATTAAGTATATACGCGCCAGAATCGGTAACGATCAGGCAGGGCACGAGGCTAAACCTGGGCAATTTCAAGTCACACAGGAAGGTGGGTTCACGCCAACCTTCCTTCGACGCCAGCGGTTCCCGTACCGACATTAGATGCGCTCGACGTACGTCACCTATAAGCTCCGCGGACCAAAGCTCGGAAAATTCCCTTTTGGCTCCCAACAACGCCTCGCCCTATGAAATAGACATTCACAGTGTTATAAAAAAAGAAAAGTTAGACAAGGTTTTTACCTATCTTAAAATTAAAAGTCATAATTTTTCGTTTTTTGTGTCACGTGACTTGAAACATGTCCCACCATTGTGTGACGTCACTGTGGCGACAACTATCAAATTAGTCATAAAGATATTCCTAATAATTATAAATCAAATCGCTAGATGGCGCTGTTCTGAGCTTATTTATATCTTTTTATTTCGTAATCGATTGATAGATGGCATTGTTCTTGTTTTATTGAAATCTTTTAATCTTCTACTCTATACATCCTTTTTGTGTAAATATCACAGTGATGTCATGAATATGACTGACAGCGTTTTCGAGGATATAAAAGAGTTTAAATTTTGATTACAAAATATTTGTTTTATGACTTTTTAACTACAATGAACAGTTAGAAGTATTATTAAAAATCGAGTAGAATACCCTATTTATACCAGAGTTAGGTTAAGTAAAACAATAACGAAATAATTTAAAAAAACGGAACAACGACTACCTGATGACGAGCCCGACGCCGCACATGTTCATAAGCTGTGTACGTAAACAATTTCATATATTTTGCCGGCAAACAATCTATTAAATATATACTTTCTTTTAAATCCAAATTCATTGTATTACTCAAATAGATTAATTCGCGTTCGGTTTATTAACGCGTCCCGAAAGCTCTATATGTATTCTAAATAGACCTCAATATTATCTTTAAACTCCAATCAATTTTTATGAATATGGATGAATTTTCAAGAAAACGCAACTTATTTAGAGGTTACATACGTTAAACAACCCTGAAGAAGTGTTTATGTTTTACACAATGTTTAAGGGATTTTTAATCTTAACCAACGCTTAAATACGATTTTGTAATAAAAAAAAAAATCAGTTCAATGCGCACTTATCTTTTTTGTAATAACACTGTCAGTATTTAATCTTATTTTATTTTCAAACTTCAGCACATTTTTAGGTCATGTACCTCATAAGTGCCTAGTAACTAAGTGCACAAAAGCAAATCAATAAGTCAGATATACTTAACAAAACAAATTTTGTATGTATATTATTCTTTTCATCTTATAATGTTGACCCTATGTCATAGGATATTATCCTGTGATATATGCATATGGAAATAATGACAATGGTAAAATAATAACAGGAGCAATTGAATACACATTTATTGCTATTGAATATAGATATCGTTTTTAAGGACAAATATTAAAACTTAATTTGATTAATCAATGATGTCCTTTAAGCTAGGTTACTATTCAGCTCAATAATGCATACTAGCATGATAACAATTATTTTGTATAACATTTAATAACTCTTCTAAGTGCTAACATACAATCTTGATAAGTGTATAAAAAATTAAAAAAGCAATTCCATTGAGATTACTTACATGAATAACCGAAAAACTTGTACTGTGAACTACCACTTCATTTTTCTTAAATAAATAAACAAGTCGATGTGACCAGAGAGCCTGAATATACTCATCTTTTTCAATTTTAGGTCTTATGGTTCTGGATGGGGAGTCATCACCAGGACTTTCAAGCTAAAATGATAAAACTATGTAATATTATACATTATTAAAACAACAAAACTAAAAACATGATGTCAATTTTTAATATGCACTTACAACAAGAGTTCCATCTTTTAACTCAAATGCTGTTAGAAAATGTCTCCCATTGAGATATTGTGCAGACAAAGCCCAATTTCTTGATCGCTTGCGAAAGAAAGGTAAATATTCAGTAGGTTCCAATGAGTAGTCACTTTGTGACTTATCATCTGTAAACATAATTTTGTCAATTAACTAAAAACAAAAACTTTTTACAAAAAGTTCACATCTAAAATTATTTTAACGAAAAGCTGATATGATCACCAATCTAACTTTTTGAGCCTTACGTTTGAAGGCTGAGAGGCTCTTTTTTGGGGGCGGCAAAAATTTCATAGTAAACGACAAAAAAATATTTTTTTAATATTTGAACCAATTAATATTTTTAACGAAACTATAAATTCGGAATGAATGAAAAGAGCACGGAATTTTTCATTGCCTACTTATTCTGTGACGAATTCGGAGAATACTCTTTCTTTAAAAATGATATTTTGTAGCGAATAGCAACACCATCTATATAGGTACTGACTTATGGGGATTCCCTGATTTTATTTTGTGCTTGGATTGTTTATGACTTATTATCAGCAAGAATGACTTCTTTTACATAAATATTAAGTTCAATTTTGTTTATTACGTCCCTTTAAGAAAGTACGTGATGCTTTGACAATTCAAATAAAGTTTTGTGCATGGATCTTCAGTTGTTAAGTTCATATTTTTCATTTCAAATTTTGTTTTTTAAAAGACAAGCCCGCTTTTTAGGATATAAGTCCTGTGTTGCGAAGGACAAGTACACCCAGAATAAGAAAAATTATTTGTAAATCACACGAAAAATTGTCCTTTGTCGGGATGTCAAAATCTTAATAGTTTAATGGTTTACAATAGTTTGTAGCATGCACACAAAAAAATTAAAGGTTTTAAATTAAACATTGACAACTGTATTTACTAGTGCTTAAAACAGGTACAGCTGCCGTCATTGGTCCAGTTACATTGATAAACCTAAAAGCGATAAAATGACAAAGACACAAATCCTATTTTTATCTATGTTATGTTGAATATAAGGTACTAGATTTACTATGAACTTTACATGCACACTAATTTCAGATAACATACTATTTTTATATTAGAGGTTCACTTTAATGTCTGTAATAAATAATGATAGAACATATATGTATACCTCTAATATAATATGCATAATAAAGTTATAGTTTTCTTAAGGTGTAAGTTGTTAAAGGAAGTTATAAGTAATATAATTTTTAAATAAATTTACCTAAAAACAACCAATCATTTGCAAAAATTTACTTTAACTACCACTTTTGACAAAAAAATGTAACCTGTATTATGTAAAATAATAATAACAGTTCTTGCCTACATAATCTACATAATCTACAGTATAATTATATAAAAAATCTAATTAAGAGGGCAGCAAAATTGTCTTCCACCCAGCAGACACCCATGCTATGCCATTGAACATCATGCTTATAAATACTTATAAGCATGACAAGTTAGTAAGTACTAATAAGCGAGTAGCTCGGTGGCGTAGTGGATAAACGCCGCAGCCCGCGATCGTAGTCGTTAAGCAACTTTCGCAAGGGTCGGTCACGGGATGGGTGACCAAAAAATTATTATCTCGTGTCCCGGCTGCATTTGCAGTCGTTAATACCCTCCAATCCGCATTGGGACAGCCTGCGCCCCTGCTGACGTAATAGGACTGGTGATGATGATGATGATGACTAATAAGCATGACAAGTATTATTTATTTATATACAAAACATATAACTTAAATATACCTTTAGATCCACCATGAATTAACAAAGTTAATTTATCTTTGGATAGCTGTCTTAAGTATGACATAAAACCATCTTTTTTCTCTTTTTCTATTTGTAACCTTACTTGAGTAAGATAATTGTAACCATAAGATCTGTGTTCTAATATAAGCTTTCCATGTTGAGTCTTGTTTTTAGAAATCTGAAATAAAAAACGGATATTATTTTGGGTGTCAAATCTAGCAAGCTTTTGACCTGCACTAATTGACTAATATAATAAATTAAATCATGTTCATGCTTATAAAAATAAACTAGAGGTATTGAACTATTAATAACTCTGTCACAATAAATGCAATATTGCTAAAAATCTCAAACAGAAATTGTATGCAAAATTACTTATTTGTAGGGTTAGGTCAATTTCAACTTCAACAAATAGAATATGGAATTTAATCATATAGAGGAGAAATTTTTAAGATCTGACAGTAATATATACCAGATATCATAACCATAATCCTTCATTATAACATTCCTATTTAAGGCATTTATAGCAAAAAAAAAAACCTTAAATATAAATTTAAAAAAAAACTATTTAATGCTACTTAAAATACTCTATTTTTACCAATACATAATATTTAAATCTTGAGTTCAAATTATTATAGTTATCTGATAATTATTTATTGTTGCATAAAATGATTCCCCTTTAATATGAAGTCCTGAAGTACATAAATAAATATGTAGTGTTTTAGAATTATCAGTTTATATTTATCAAGATAATTATTGCTATAATTATCATACTATTCTTTTTACTATAAATGAGAGGAGGCTAAATAAGGAAGTACAGCTACAGGAAATGGTTCTCTCATATTGGACATTTTTCAAACTGCATGGCCATTATTTATAATGCCGAAATAATCACTATCCTTGATGTAAAATTTCAATAGCATAAAATGTTTACAGGTGGGTCTGTGGCCTTATAAAATAGACATTCTCATTTTATATACCAACTAGCCCACAAGAGATCCAACATAAAAATATAAGCTAGAATTTCTACAATGACAAGTGATTGCTTGTATTTCACTATTACATAGTTACTGCATACTTGAACTGTTTTTTCAGTTATGTCCATTCTATAAATAAATAGTGTGATAAATAGAAATGAATAATATGTTGCATTTCTATCCACAAACTCACCAGTAAAATCAGTAAATCAAGGGAATCATCGAAACACATCTGGAGATCCATTATTTCTCCTGGAATCTTTAGTTGAGCAACTATTGATTGTGATTCTAAACAATAAAAACTAAGTAGTCCTTTCTGAAATAAAAATTACATATAACAATGAATACAATAAAAAATAAAAGCTTGTAATAACCACTAGAAATATCACAAGAGGAGGAGAAAATGTATATAGCATCTATTCAATCAGTAATCTTACCTCTGTTCCAATGATCAGAACATTTTCAGATTCTTTTGTCAGCCACCATACTACTGAAATGGGCTTGGGAAGGTCAGGAATAGGGAGAACTGTCACACTTGATAAAGACCATTTATGATCAAACGCATTTTGGGGTGTAAAAAGGGGAAGAAACGGAACGAGAAGAACTTTGTTGTCACTCAATATAAGAAGCCATGTTCCACTAGGTTCAAAGCACATACAATGGATAGGATTATCTACAAAATCCCAATCATAATTCCTTTCTAATCTCTCAGTTTGGGGATTGATATAAAAAAATAATAATTCTTTGTCACTGCAAAACGCCAAGAACTTTTTAAGGCCCACTTCATAGAAAGTATAAGCAGAAATATCTAAATGAACTAAAACATCTAACTTGAAAAGTCCTGAAAAGTCCAAATTATCGTTCGCGGGAGCCATTATGAAAATGAGATAAATGTGGTTGATCAATTTACATCACAACTTTTAATATGAAAGATAAAACTACATAAACCATTAGTAAACACTAGAAATTTGTAGTGTGGTAATTTTTAGCTTTCGCATCACAAATAGCAGCCAATAGTATAGTAAGCAGTAGTTTCGTCCATGGGATAGAACAGGTAAAGGAACTAAGCCAAACAGCCAACCAAATCTTGGGTTATGAAAAATAATGAGGAAGTATTTAAAAATAAAAATTAGTTCTTAAAATTTTACTAGATGTCACTAACGATATTTGGAATGAATATCATAGACAAGAGTCTATGATATTATATTTATGATATTGTTACAGACTCTTTTGATGCAGGCCACTTTTTATAGCCGGCCGGCATATTGAGTGACAGACGGATGACTTACTTTTTAGATAATTATTGTTTTAAAAAAGACGTGTGTGAATAAAGAGAGTCTAATCTATCAAGTCGGTTTTTCCTATAATTTCCTTTTTTTTCATGGTTCTTTGAATTAATACGACCCAACCTGTGGAGAAATAGTTCATTTAGTTCGTCTCAATTGTCAACCTATATTGTGCATAATGTTAACGCGTAGCAAAAGTGTGCAACACGTCAAGACTGACGGTGACGTGCAGACGAATCGTGATCAGACCAGCACGCGTAGCATGACAAACTCGAGAAACGCTTTGTCTACACTCATTTGTCAGTTTCTCGGGTCGAGAGTGAGATATAGTATGGGCGCACCCGAGAAAAATGACATTTGAGTGTAGACAAAACGCTCTCGCGTTCGTCATGCTACGCGTGCATGTAGGCTTCGAGCTCGACGACATCCGTAGCGAGTACTGCTTCAACCATACGTAGACAGCGTTTGATTGAGGTAAAGCAGAAACGGCAGAAAAACTCGCCGAACTTGAGCGACGAAAGATTGAGGCACAAATTTTAGTCAAAGAAAACTTAATTAGACAACAAGCTTCGATAGAACTAGAAGCAATAGAAAATGATGACGTAAGTAATGAACCACCTCGAACACCGACCTTTATACCAAATACGAATTACAGACAACCTAGATGGCATAGCACCGCGAAACATGCGCCAAAACAGACTGAAACGACGAAAACATCACAAATAGATAAGTTACTAGCACGTCAGTCAGGCAGTAAAGACCTACACATTTTTTCCGGTGCTCCAGAGGAGTGGTTTCTTTTCTACAGTCAGTTTAAGAGGACTACCGAACTTTGTGGATTCACTGATGACGAGAACATTGCGCGTCTAGCGAAGTGCTTAAAAAGTGAGGCTTTAGAATCAGTATACGCAATGTTGATGAGTACAACGAACTTACATCGAATCGTAAGAACTTTGAAAATGCGGTTTGGACGAGCAGATACTATAATAGAAATGCTAATAACAAAAATACGTTCATTTCATAATATTCACCATAATGATATGCACAGATTAATGAAGTATGCAATTGACATACAAAACGCAGTGGCCGTTATGATTGGTACGGAACAGACAGACCATTTACGAAATCCGACATTAGTCAAGGAAGTTCTATCTAAATTACCATCTATTTGAAGTACCAATGGTGTATGGAAAAGATGCGACGAGGCATAGCTTCCGACTCCCTGGAAGACATATCAGAGTGGCTCTTAGAAATGGCTCAGTCGACCACCGAGTTCTTCAATCCGTCACACAATACAGTCGAGAGGAAAAGTTTCGTACCGCACAAAAATGAACGACGTCAACCTGTGTTAACTACTTCTATGAAAACAGACAAAAGAAATTGCCATAAATGTAAAGGAATTCATGACCTCAAAGACTGCCCAGATTTCCTATGCATGAACATTGACGACAGATGGAGATACGTGACTGAAGAAAAATTGTGTTTTTCATGTCTATCGTCGAGGCACCAATTGAAGACATGTAGAACGAAAGTTAAATGTGGATAGGCAGGTTGTGAATTTATACACAATAAAGTCTTACATGCTGCACCGAAACAATCTGCTTTAATTAACAACACTACATTAGCTACCACAGCTGGCTATATGAACGGTGACGCCGTAATTGCTACTACCCAACCTACGACGAGACTGAACCAAGTATTACTAAAAGTTGTCCGTGTGGTAGTCAGTGGAGTCAACGGTGACTTCGAGACCTCTGCTCTTTTGGACGAGGGAGCGTCCGTCAACCTGGTGGAAGCATCATCGCGCGCGCTGGTATTTGTGGGCCAACACAATCCTTGCGCATGTGCGGAGCACACGGCATGTCGTCGGTGGACTCTACGTCACAATGTGTTTCATTTAAAATTCGCGGTCGTTCTTGTGATGTTTTGTATAATTTATGTAATGTTCGTACTGTAAATAATTTAAGGTTGCCTGTAAATACTTATCATAAGAAAATTGTAAACAACTGTTATTTGACAGAGTACTTCTGTTATAGACGACGACTTTGACTTTGGAAATATTGACATATACAGGGAGGAACAAAATCACCGACACAGCCGAAAATTTCAAGTTAGACTTAGGTTACATGCAAACGTTCATTTTATTTGACAAATATTTAAAAATAGAGGAGGTGTAAAAATGGAGTAAAAATTTTAAATTTCTAAGTGTCGACAGCCCTTTAACGCGCATGCGCAATATCGATTGTGCGCAGATTACAACGGACCGCAAAATACATTAATTTAATTTGATTATTTACCGATATCTTAATGATAGTCGATGCTGAAAATGTTCAATTCTTCTTTGAAGACAGCTAAGCACGCTCTTTTGCATGCCAGTGTATGCAGGCGCAAAACACATCACATTACACACAAAACTAAACACAATCTTCATTAAACTAAACTTAACACTCAAGACGAACACTCTAGTATCTTATTAACAAAAATTCGATTAAAAATGAACTAGAACAAAACAAAAATCGACAAAAAAAAGACGCTTCGCAGCGGTGCGTCGGCGGCGATGCGCAACAACACTCAGGCGCAAAATGTCGGCGGCGACTGAGCGGGCGGACAATACCAACAGAATAATGAAGCCGCCTGGCGGCTGGCGGGTGGGTGGGGCTTTGATATTGAGGGACGAACTCGGTTCAAATTTTTTTTATTCGTCTTTTGATATCACGCATTTTTTAATGTTTTTTTTTAAATGCTATTTTAAAAACAAATTCCTCAATGTTTTTAAAACAAAGTTCATTTGTGTTAATGATGAATCACTGGAAGATTTGTGAGTTTATCGAGTTTAATTAACGATCCCGTTGTTAAAAGAGTATTACCCCATTCAAACAATTTTTATGGAGAACTGCTCTTTTAAAATAACGTAAGTTAATGTTAGACTGATTTCTCTACAATAATTTAGGAAATTTTACACTCGGTTTCTTAATTGAGTATTTAAAGTTAAACGTCTCAAACTAATATCACTTAGTTTTCGTTTCCGATTTTAGTTTTTTGCTGATCAGTTGATAGCAGTTTGATAAAACTAAGACTATTTGACTTATGAAATAAAAAAACTTAGGTTATTGAGAATAAGCAGTAGAATTTTTTTACTTTTTTCAAATCATAAACCGGCTGTTAGTCTGTAAATCGATTTAAGCATTTTGACTGCCTTGTTTATTGATTGACTGGTAGAATTTGCATGAAAGCAGTCTTATAAATCACAATCTAGTTTATTTCGTTTTTAGAAATGAAGAAGTCAATGACCGATTAAAAACTTTTCCTTAGTACGTCCCAAAAACAGCTGACTCAGGGTTGAAAACACTCATTTTTTTTCAAAAACTTTGTAATTTAATATCTCCGAAAATATTTGACCTAGACTTATAATTTTTTTTACATCATATTAAAGACAAATAGTACTCTCCAGGAACCTCGGGAGTGTCGGTCGTTCTGTTCCACCGAGTATATTGATTCATAGAGATAAGGTAGAGTGGAAATATTTTCTATGGTTATATAAATATCATGCAATCTGAAGTTGACATCGAAAATATCATGTTGTCTTTTTTTAACTAATAAGAAGTTTCTTTAGTAAACAAAGATCGCACTAGTGTGACAGTTCAAATTTTTTTACGTGACGTCATGACATATTATAGCTATCGTACCACCTTTATCTGTTCTGTGGTACCACCTGTCCGCCATTTGCAAAGTTGCAGTGCGTATTCTCGGAAGTAGTTCAGCTGTCAGTGTTATAAGTTTTGTGGTTATTTTCATTTATAACTTTAATTTATATAACTTTCATGGCAGAAAATTGTAAATTATTTATGCAAAACAATGCCTAGGTGCTGTATAATTGGTTGTGCGTCATCAATATCCCGCAAACCGAGCAATATTACGTTTCACCGGTAAGTTAAACACTTTCTTGGAATAACAGTATTTAAAACTTAAGTAAGTTATTCTGAAAATGATTGCGTGTATAAATCGATACATATCGTATTTTGGCATGTTCTATTTATGCTATATTGCTCTTTTCGTTTATGTTTTTATAATATTTCGGTCCGTAAATAATATTGTTTACATGGCTAGTGTTGTTACTTTAACATATGGTTTATATCGATAATTTTAATATTTAAAAATATATTAATTATTTTAGATTACCAAAAGATGAAACAAAAGAGGAAAATGACCGAGTTACATAGAAGCAGAAAATATTAAATGTAATGAAAAAGTTACTTTTATCTGCTCACTTCATTTTAGGAAAAGTTGTTTGAATCGAACTTTAAATATAATAAAATTACGAGATGATGCATTGCCAATCAAATACTCTGGTAAGAATTTTTGACAATTGCTTTTAACTTATTAAAAAAAAAATGTCTATTACACTTAGTTAATTTTCATTTGATTTTACTGATTTATTTATTTAGTTTTTTATATAGTCATTTTGTTATTCTATAAATGTACCTTATTTTTAGTCTTGCGGTCATGTGACAACTATTTTAATTGAAAAAAATCAGAATGCAATATATAATAATATTAAAATATAAAATTCTGATCATAATATACTCCCA